CCCCAGCACACACACAGAGAGAGAGAGAGAGAGAGAGATGCGCAAGGACACCACAGGGACCACATTTCCTCCTCTCTGCCCTTCTCTGTTGGTTAGGTGTTGGCTCAGCTGGACCTGTGGGCCAACAAGGACACGGGCAAGTACCAGAACGACGTCTACCTGCTGCCCAAGGAGCTCGACGAGAAGGTTGCACGCCTCCACCTCCCCGCCCTCGGCGCCGAGCTCACCGAACTCAACAAGGACCAGGCGTCCTACATCGGCGTACCCGTCGGCGGCCCTTACAAGCCCGCCTCTTACCGGTACTAGACACCACACCACCCTGCTGGCTGGCTGGCTGGCTGGCTGGCCACACCGCTCGAGAGCTGGCGTGACAATTTTCCGCGTGTGTGGTGGGCGCATCCACGCATCCACTGGCGCATTCATTGAGGTGAGAGGGGGGAAGGTAGGCGGTGTGTCTGGGGGGATGCGTGTGCGTGTGTGTGTGCATGTGTGTGAGCGTGTCGATGGACACCTGCCTGCAGCAGTTTTGGACACAAGGGGGAGAGTGGGAGAGAGAGAGAGAGGCAGGTGTTTTTGGCTGTGGTTTTGCGCAGCTGGATGTCAGCCGATCGACAGAGAGGCCTTGTTCGGTTCGTATCTCATCGTCTGGTAAAGTGTGTTGGTTGGTCGTCTTGTGTGTTACGTGTCACCTTTCCTCCCTATGTTCTTCTCCCCTGACGTGGATCAGCCGGGGGCATCCAGCGCATTGCAATGCTTTACACCGGGTGTTGCAAGACGTTGGGAGTCCTGAAGTGACTTGCGTCACGGCGAGAGGGCAAACGGCGGAACGGGGACACAGCGCGTGCTGACTGATGAGCGATGGGTCCGTTTCAGAGAGGTCAGGTCAGCCAAGTCAGTCAGTCATGTCATTGGGTGGGTGGCGGGTTACCATCGCAGCTTGTCGGATTTTGAAGCATTCGTCCGTGTTGCCTTCTCGCCTGTGGCCTTGCAGACAGGTCTATCTGCCGCTACAGCCCTCGCTGTAGGTGCCTACGAAATGGGCCGCTGCAATGAGGTTGCGTGGTGGGGTGTGCACCTGTTGCAAGACACAGCAAGAGAGGGGGGAAGGGCAGATGATCAGGGTTCACTATATCGTCTATGCTTCGTGTTGGGGGGGTTCTGTCTAGTGGGCCTGCTTTGTGGGAGCGGGACGATACACACACTGACACGTACACGCCTACGTCTCCGTCTACGTCGACGCGCCATTCGAACCAAGCTCCAAATGAGCTTGTGGGGCGTCGTGGTTTCTTTGTGTCGCGGTGGTGATTTAATTTGCATGTTCGTGTGGTGGCGGTGGACATCAGTGACTGCAGTAACCTACCATGCATTTCCATCTTTCACACACAACGATGAACGACACTTCTTTCGTTGGACATCAACCAACCAGTGTTCCTTTCTTGAACCGTGTCTCATATTGTCACGCTGGCGAAGTGATTGCATCTCGCCGTCTACGTCCATTCCCATGCCTCCCTCACACCCACGCCCCTCTCTCTGTACACACATCACGATCATGCAGAGACACACCCATACACACCCCCGCATGTGTGAGCGTGTTGGTGATGGCCCCATCACCGACACGCCCACGTCATCCGCTCACGGCGAGTGTTCGACAGGGAGCTCTATGTGGTGTTGGATGTATGGGTGTATTGGGTGTGTGGCCGCGTCACTGGTAAGTGGCGCTCTCGTATGCCGTGTAGCACTGGGGGCACTGCCGATCCGCCACCGGCAGCTGCAACACATACCTCTCGAAACATACCTAGTGAACCACACCACACACCCACACCCACACGCACAAACACAGATGCACGCCCCCCTCCGCTCCTTCCCCCCTCCCCCCTCACACCCAGCAGATGGCCGTATGGCCGCAGGGGAGAAATCTGACGTCCTTCTCGTTCTCCTGACACACGCCACAGAGGCCGCCGTCCGGATCAGCCTCCGGGGTCTGCTCCCCGGTGCGTGTGGACGGGGAGTCGGCCGTCAACTCCTTCAGGCGCATCTGGGCCTGCTGTTCTATCTCCGACAAACGGGCCTGCAGAGATGGCAGGGAATATGTGAGTGTTGTGGGGGAGGGCGTCTGTGTGTGTGTGGAATACCTGTTTGTTGTGTACGTCGTTGATGAACGCGGTAACGCCCTCCAGGTCCATCGAGGCCAGGCTATCGACAACGGGGAAACCACTGACACACACAAACACACCTCAAGTGACGTTCTGCATATGTGGTGCGTGTGGGGTGTCCAGCCAGACTTACCGAGCTAATACGTCCATCTCGCCAACCTTCTTGCCATCCGATGCCCTCTTCATCGACTCAAGTCTGACCACAACCACACACCCACACCCACACCCATCCATCCGTCAAAGTGCATCCCTCTCTCTCTGCGGATGGGTGTGTGTTACTTCTCCCGATAATGCGCCTCCATGACACGCAACTTCTCCTTCCACCGCTCCTCCAACTCGTGGTGACTGACACATCCACACACACGCGTCACCTCGCCACCTCGCTGCTCACATACCCACCTCTTCTTGGCCTTTTCGAGTTCCTTGCGAAGCCCCTCTGTCTCGCCCTGCTTGCCGCGGAGGAGGTGCTGCAGCACCATGCCCTCACCTGTGCGGGCCGTCTGGCGGCTGGGCACGCCGCCATCCACAACCTTGCTACCGACCTTCCCATCAGCAGAGGTAGTAGCTACCTGAGAACTGCACCAACAGAGAGTTGTGTGATGAAGGAAGGGAAGGAGGATGGCGGTGCAGTCAGCTCACCTCGCGGATGCGGGTGTGTGCTTGCCGGCGCGGACCTCCTTGCCGCTGGCATATGCCTTGAGCACAGCGGGGTCATTGAGACCGTGCCTATGACCAGCTGCACGACTCGCACTCGCCTCAGCGCCACTCGCGTTCGGCCTGCCTGAACTCACAGGAAAGGGGCCGCCATAGCCTGCTGTGGCCGACCCCTGAAACACCCACAGCGACCACAACGACGCAGATGCTCATGTGTGGCGAGATGCATCGTCATCAGCTCGATGCATCCGAGTTGCGTTCTTGCCTGTTGGTGCCCGCTATGGTTCTTCTTGCGCCAGCCTCGGTCTGTCATGGTCAGAACTTAAAACCGTCGAGAGGAAAAGATGGCGAGAATCGCCCGGCGAGAATTCGAATCCGAGACAGCCCCAGAAACCCTAGCCTTGTTTTGGTTCGTTTCCTTCATCCATCCGAGCCTTATCCTGCCTCTCCTCTGTATGTGTGTGGATATCGTTCGTTGTGTGGGGTGTGGGTGGGTCAACAGGCGCCCCCCGACCGCGCCGCCCATTCGACGTCCCCGACACACAGGCAGACGCCGATACAGCGGCCGCCCCCTCTGCACCACCTGCTGACATGCTCACTCATCAGGAGCCTCAGCATTCGACGGATGCGGCTGCTGACGCGGCAGTCCAAGAATCTTTTTCGTAAGCGGGGCGGGAGAGTGACGCAGCTGGCTACTCGATGCTCGCATCTGATTGTGTCGGTTGCAGTTTGGGTCACTATCCGACAGCCAAGTGGTCGGCATGTGACGAGCTCTTTCGCAAAGGCAGTCGAAAGCCTGCATCCTTCCTACACACTGGTCCTACAACGGCGCCCGCCTCCTACATGAGCCAAAGGGAAGGACATATCTGATGAGGGAGGCGGAAATCAGAGCGCGACAACTGCACCCATTCGTCAAAGACATCGAGAATCAACTTTGGCGGGGCGGATTCGACGCACTCTTCCCATTTTTCGGATACGCTGACGCGTCGACAGCAGGTGGAAAGAGAGAGAGAGAGGATGCCCGATTCACCACCCTGCTGATCGATTGAGTTCATGTAAGCTGCACACGAATATACACGCTTCGGATGAAAGCTGCATTGATGCTGCATGTTGCAGTTCATCGCCTCCTTCGTCCAAGCGGCTGTCCTATTCGGCATCGCATACACCCCCGGATGGCCCGATTTCTTTAAACCCTACGAGAGAAATCATCGGCAGAGAGGACCAGAAGATTGAAGCAGCGAGGACAACTCAAGTAAGGACACTTGGGTAGACTCAAGACGAGAATCGTTGAGGACCCCGTGTGTTTATATCGGCAGGTATATCATTGCAGCCTTTGGATTGTGGCCGGTGCTTTCCTCGCACTGTTTGCCGCCAACAGCGCCCGAGAAGCAGACTTGGAGGACGTCCACTTGGAACACCGTACACCGTTTCTGGGCGTTGGCGCTGCTGCAATGAGCCCGCTTGCTAGGGCCCCCCTTCCGAAAGGCGTCGTGGGCAGGCAGGCAGGCAGAACGGCAGGCAGACTGAGTGGGGAGAGTGTGGTGCACGTGTATGACTGGATGGCTGGCGGGCTCATCCATCGGCGGACCCGTTTTGGCGGACGGGCATCGACAACTGCATACACGCGTGTTGCCTTTCAAGACAGTGTTGTGTGTAGGTGTGCTTATGGAAGGTGAGGCAGTGCGGTTTTCACAGCAGAGATCGCACATGAGTCGACGCATTTTTCATGTTTGTGTCAGTTGTGTGAGCTGCCGAATGGGGATGTGGTGTCGTGCTGCGAGGACGGTGTAGTGCGCGTGTGGACGACTTGCAGAGAGAGGATGGCCTCCGACGAGGAGAGAAAATCACAAGAGAAACTCGCTGACGAGGTATATTGATCAGCCAGACAGGAATCCTCTGGCTCATGAATGGTCTTTTCCTGTCTGTATGTTCCTGTCTGTGTCACACCACAGGCTAAACCCTCGCTCATCTATCCCCCTCCGAAGCGCCAAAGAATTGAAGGTGACTTTCATCGGTCAAAGAAAGCTTTTGCGTATCCGCTGGGTCTGAGTGTCTGCACTGCGTGTCCGCAGTTGTCCTTTCCCCGCAATACCTCTGCAATCCCACATCGGTGCCACTGCCAAGCCTGGACGAGGGCATTAGCTGAGCTGAAGCCAGGCGGAGTGGGACATCGTCGATCTCGGCCCCCACCGCCTGTGGGCGTAGGCGAGCCCCAGGGGGCCGAGGGTCTGACGGACGACGGGCTAATTGCAGAGCTCAAGAAGGTGGGCGGGCCAAGGCAAGATTGATTGCCGTCTCTGTGTTTATGTAGCTTATGTCCGTCAGCTTTTGATTCAAAGGTGTGACATCTTCGTGGTTGTTGACTGCAGCTGGTAGGTGCGATTCACAAGACCACCCTTCGTCAGTCCTCGTGTCAGCAAAAGATCAGTGAGTCCCTCTCTCCTTGTCTGTCTGTCTGTGTGCATGTGTGTGTGTGTCTCGGGAAATGATCGTGATCGTGATCGACGTGTTTGTGTTGTGTTGTGCGCTGCTGGTTTGGCCGTAAGTCGGCTTCGGAATATGTCTCAGACGTGATGGCACGCGACGCAAGTACTGGCAGAAGCAATCGCCAGGTCGCACTCAAGTGATTTGCATTTATGGTGCATTCATGACTGTTTGTGTGCGTATGCAGATATCGCTCGCTGGCTACATTTTATATCTGGCGGTCTCCTGTCTCCGGGACTCATGTGCAAGTGAGTGTTTCTGCTCGAGCGCCGGTAATACACGAATGAGATGAGGAACACGTGGGGCTCTGTGCTGTATGCACTCTGTGTGTGGCGTCTGTACTCTTCAGAGCGGCTGAGGATGATGAAGAGGTCGAGGAAATTGCCGGCTACATTATATGAGTGTATGTGCTGTCTATTCGTGTTTTCTGGCGGTTCAGGTGTCTGAAAAGGTCACCTTGACACCCAGCCATCTCATTTCAGTCGGTAGACTCATCAAACCAACTGACCGTGACCCAGAGAATGTGCCGAGCGTCACTCGCAGTGCCGGCCAGCAACAGGCCTATATCGGCAAAGATGACCTGAAGGTTTCAGCGGTCTCTTATCCTTTCGGCCTTGCGGCTCATGTCTCGTCCCACGACGTCCGGTCGGACGATGCCTTGTTTGTTCTTGTTTGCTTCTGTGTGCAGCTGATGGAGGGCGCAAGCGAGAGCGTGAGGCTGAGAAGAAAGAGATCATATGTGTGTGGGACGACAGCGAGCAGGTGGGGGGGAGGTTGGCACACCGTCATATGACTCGTCTGTGTCTGCCAGTGGTGGCGACGAGAGCACGGTCGGGTCAGGATACCGGCGACGAGGCCGCAGGTGCTGCTGCTGCGGCCCTGCTGTCGAAATGTCACTCGACGGTACGTACGAAGATAAACACACTCGTCCATCCATCCATCCAGCGACGTTCCGTGTCTGTGTGTGCAGCTGGCCGACAGCAGGGGGCTGAGGAGGAGGATGGGGGCAGGCAGGCGGCAGGTAGCGACAGGTCTGCCCAGACCTCTGTGTGCAACCGGGCTGCAGGGCCGGAGGACGAGGTGCGCCAGAGAGGCAAGCGCACGAAAGCCGACTTAGCCAAGCAAGAGAGCCGAAGGGTTCACGGTCACAATTGTCGTATATCAGTCAGTGGTTTTTGCTTTTGGCCATACACGCCATCATGGATGGACGGATGTGCGCCGTCAAGAAACGCCGCCAAGAGCACCAGGACGCTGTCTACATTTTATATCCGTCGACAGTTTGCAGCTGGTGTTTTGCACTTGCATGTGAAGATATTTCTGGGCTGGTGTGACTTTCAATTCGTGTTCCCTTGTTCGTTCGATTCAACGACAGACTGTACAGTACACCTCACCTGCATGAATGGTCAAAATCGATGGGATCCATTACATCACACCACGATGCACACGATGCAGACGATGCACACGATGCAGACACACCCACACATGTCAGCGAGTCGATCCGTCCGTCCGTCCGTCCGTCCGTCCGTCTGTCTACCCCCACTTGATGACCATCTTTTTGCCCCCCTTGCCCTTCTTGCCCTGCTTGGCGTCCATCACACGACCGGCCAACCCAAGGCCACCCAACCCACAGCTCTCCATCACACTCCCCTGCCGCCCTCCCCCATCCTCCCCGCCAACGTCGCCATCAGCAGCCGCATGCTCGCCCCTCTGCGTGCTGCTCTGCGTCACAGGCAGGGAGGGGAACTCAGCTCGCGATCCCGCTGCTGGTGCGTTGCGAGGTCGGTTGGACTGTGACCAGAGGGATGAGGACGGAGGGGCGCTCTGGCCAGAGGGCAGCTCGGGGAAGGCGGCGCTGTCAGTGGTGGCGAGGTACTGCTGGTGGGCGGCAGTCAGGTACTCGAACAGCACATCAAGACCCACACACAGCCGGGCTAGCGAGCGGAATGGTGGCAGCGCGTCAGAGTCGGCGAGAGGGTCGTCTCCCAGGAAGCGCATGTCGGTCAGGACGCTCACACACCGCTCCACCCAGTCTGTGAGAGGGTCCCCTGTGTGTGCCGTCGATGGGCCGCTGCCGGTGCTGTCCTTCTCTTTCTGCCGACTCATGAAAAACTGAGCCCTGCACACACAGAGATCGAAAGAGCACAGTCTCGATTCATATACGTACGTGTGAGTGTTTCTGTTGGTGTGTTGGCCTGTTAATGCTTACGCGAGGCTCTCGCATCGCTCGAGCGCCTGTGTGGGCAGGAGCCCGGCCAAATCGCCAGACAGTCGCGTGAGGGACGCACAGTCAGCCTGATTGACGAACAACGCAACACATACAAGGACCTCATCCACCCTCCGCCTAGTACGTTTTGTCTCCATTTTCTGACCTTTCTGCCCTGTTGAGCCTTGCTCCTGACGGTGGCCACCACCTCATCGCTCGGCCTTGGCGCATCCCGGCTCGGCGCAGCCCTCACAGATGCAGCAGCAGCAGCCGCGGCTGCACCCTTTTTCTTCTTCTGCTGGCGTCGCCTCTCTGGCAGCCCTGGCCACGCCCTGCCCTCTCCACCACCACCATCGCCATCGCCGCCCTCCTGCTGCTGCTGTTGCTGTGTGTCCGCATCGGTGTCGTAGTAGAGGGAGTGGTTTTCCCGGTATGTGCTCCTCTGCCTGTCGGCCAGCCACATGACCACTATCCTGAGGGCCGATGGGAACGTGTAGGCCTCCTGGTCAGCCGACTTGATGAGGGCGGCTATCTCCCCACACTCACGGCGGGCTCGCTCGCGCCGCTCCCGGGTGGCCATGTGGTCGTCGTCGTCGTCTGCTGCTGCTGCTGCTGGTGAGGGAGACGGGCGCGAATCGCTGAAGGAACACGGCACACAACACAGTGGTGATCGGATCTGTCGACGCGGTGTGGCAGTTTCTCACCTTCTGTCGTCCCTCGGCCTGTCGGTAGGTGATCCATCGCTCTCTGACGGTGGCGCTGGTCCCACGCCGTTCCTGGCCTCCTCCGTCCTCGCCCTGGTCTGCTCGTCTAGCAGGCTCTTCAGGCTGGCCGCCAGCCGCTCCCTCTTGCCTCTGTTCGGCAATAGCGTCACAAGCGACGTCAGCAGATCCACACCCTTGGACACATCCACGAGAAACAGCTCTGTTGCCTGCCGCACGAACGTGTCGGCCGCCTGGTGGTCGTCGGGCAATGACCGCTGGAAGGCCTTGGCGTGCCCCAGAAACGTCTGGAAGGCCGCTTGGCCGAGGAATGCTTGCATCTCCTCTCGGAACCGCCGATTGGCCTCGTTGTAGTCATCCTTGGGCAGCACCTCTGGCAGGTCCAGCTTGCCGTCAAGACGCTCAACGACCTCCTTGAGAGAAACCTCTTGCTGGGATGGAGGGGTGACTGAGGGGGTGAGATGAGGGGGGAGCACGGAGGGCTGTGACGGCGCACTCGGTGGCTGTGCTGGTGCCGGTGGGGCAGCCGAGGAAGAGGACGGACGGTCGTTCGCTGGGGAGAGAGGGCCGTCTGAAAGAGAGACAACAGACAAACACAAGCGATGTCGGTCTGCGATGAGAGGATGTGTGTGAGACTCTTCTCCTTTTTTTCTACCTGGTGACATGGAGATCATGTCCGGCTGGGCCCTTTCTCTCCGCCCACGGCCGCCTCTGCCCCTCCCTCCCCCTCCCCTGCCACCTCTCTGCTGACCCAGATCGCCCAAATAACCCGACCGAGCGCCCATCTGCACCTCGTCCCGATAGCTGACGTAGTTGAGGGGCACATCCAGCCGGATCTTCTTCTTCCTGCCGTCCCCATGCACCTCAGCACGGTGTATTTGCAGCTCCGCCTGTGTCCTGAAGGCCACGTGACGGCTCTCCAGACACACTGGGTCACGACACACGTAGTGGGCCGTCTCGAAATGGCGGAAGAGGCTCGCGTAGTCGCGAAACCACTGAGTGGGCTGGGAGGGGCAGAAGGGGCAGTGCTCGTGGTTCTCGCGCATGTGCTGCTGCAGCTCCTCAGCCGAGTAGAATGCCTCGCGACAGAAGCGACAAGTGGGGTGAGGGGGGATGGGTGGGCGGCCGTCTGTGCCTCTGGCCTCGCCCTCCTCGTATCGGCTCATGTGCTCGTCGAGGGCCTTCTTGGTGTAGAGGGGCTGCTCGATGAGGAACAAAGAGGGCTGCCCCTGCACACACACGAGGCACGGCGACCGCTGGTGCACATCCGACAGGTGGCGCGACAAACCCTGAGCACCCACTCACCACACAAACGCTTCTGTGACCCCGTTTGTTTTTCGTTCATATGTGTGTGTGTGCTGTCGCACCCACCTGCATCGATTCGAAGACTTTGTTCTTGGCTAGACACTGCGGGTACCAGCACTTGTAGCTAAGCAGGTCTTCTGCAAGCGACTGAAGGGAGGGGGAAAGGAAGTAGATGCCGCGCACCCCACCAACAGGACGGATGCCACGTAGGCGCCCCTGCAGGCAGGCAGGCAGGCAGGCAGGCAGACAAGACAACACACATGTGAGAATACACACATCAACACTCTCACTCACCTTTAGCTCATCGAATGTGCGGTGGTCATTGACGTCCACACCGATGGCCGTCGGCTGGTCCTCGCGACACACGGGGCACACCGTCTGGCCCTGCTTCACCCGCAGCCGCAGCGCACACAACCAACACATGACGTGGCGACACCCAACCAGCACACGACCAATCTGTGGGCAGAAATCGACGCACATCAACAGAAGAGAGAGGAATTGATGTGGGGTGAGATTTGGTTACAAGTTTTCCTCTCTGTGTGTACCGCATAATCGTAGCATATCTCGCATCTGAAGGCGTGCAGGTGGTCGTGGCTGCAGTACTCCTCCTTCGGCATCGTCAAGCGCCGCAGGGTGTCGGTGAAGCAGATGATGTCTGATGACTCGTCTGGCGATGGCATCCTTGAGAACTCGAATGTTGCTCTCACTGATGTGGCGTCAGACTTAGCAGCTCGGCAAAGACAATCCGTAAATACAATCGGGCCTGACGTTTTGGCTGCGTGCTTGTGATCTTGCGTCTCGTGGATCGCGCCTTGCCTTCTCAGTTTGCTTTTTCGGCCCAGTGCCGCTGTACAACACTGCCAAGGGCCTGGCTATCGTCTCCCTCACACCTGAATTTCGGCCCAGTGCCGCTGTACAACACTGCCAAGGGCCTGGCTATCGTCTCCCTCACACCTGAATCGCCCATCTGCCTTCCTGGTATGCATGCGTGCGGACACGGAAAGGGAACGAGGGCACGGAAATGGACGCATATGTGGGTGTGTTCGTGTATGGGTCCATGCGTCGTCGTTGTGCTGTTGTGGTGTGGTATGGCAGGTTGTTTTTCGCACTCTTCTGTCGCCTCGCTGTTCCGTTTGGGTGCGCTGTACAATACTATCTGGTTGGCAAGCGCACACACTGACTGGATGGCTGGCTTGTGAGTGTCCATCGTGTTGGTGGTGTTGTGTGTGTCGGTGGCAGGTTGGTTTTCGCACCCTCTGTCGTCTCGCTTTTCGTTCGGGTGCACTTTTGCCATCACTCTCTGGTGCGCATCAAGACAGACAGACAGAC